GTGGGGTTAAGTGACTTGCCCAGGGTCACACAGCTAGTAAATGTCAAGTGTTTGGTCTGGGGCTGGATTTGAACTCAGGTCCTCCTGACTTCAGGGCCAGTGCTCTGTCCACTGCACCACCTAGCTCCCCCTTCTCTCTTCTTTTTTTAACCTTCATCGTGGCCTACATCCCCCTTGCTGAGTCATTGTGCCCTGAAGGTACCATGGTGACTCCCCTGGCCTCTCCCTTGCTTCTGTCCCCTTTTCTCCTCTCAGCCACCAGCTTCATTCACACTCTCACCACTTCTGGTGGCACTCCTGTAATGGCCTTCTAACTAGCCTCCCTGCCTCAAGTCTTTCCCCACTTCAATCCATCCTCTCCTCATATGCCAGTGATTTTCCTAAACCACAGGACTGACCTTGTCATTCCCCTATTCCCTAAACTCCAGTGTCTCCCCATTTATTCTATAATCAAGTTTACACTCATCTATTTGGTTTTAAAGTTCTTCACAACATAGTGCCACTTAAATTTCCAGATTCTAAGGTCCTGCTAAACATACCTAGAATGCATTGCCTCCTCACCTTTGCTTCTTAGAATTCCTGGTTTCCTCTAGAGCTCACCACTTGGTCATCCATCATTCAACCAATAATGCCTGTCCTAGAATTACAATGTTATTTATTTATTTATTTTGGCAGGATCTGTGGTTTCTTTAGTGTGGGCAGCTCTAGGTGAGGAACTTATTTAAATGCAGATCAAGGAAAATGGATTTTCCTTGGTCACCTCCTTATTTGAGACTGAAGAGAAGGAGGAAGATAGTAGATGTCTAAAGGATGTGAGATGACATTCTCTCCATGAATGTCTCTCTCTTTTTTTTTTTCCAGTGAATTCTAAGGCTAGGTTCCCTGTTAATAAAGTGTGGGGAGGGTGTTGTGGAAGGTTTGAGGAGAAATGGAAAGGTCTGGTACAGCCTTCGTGGAGAGTGGGATAGCAAAGTAAGTACGGAGGAATAGAATATTTGCCTTGCTCCATGGAGGGCCCAGTTGAGACAGAACATAAATTTGTGGTGGGTCCAGTCAGCATGGTTTCCTAATTTTCTCCAGGTCTGTTCAGCAGCATATGATTTAGTGTAGACAAAGTAGTTTAATCAGAGTTGGGATTTGGCCAGACATGGTGGGTGATAAGACAAGGGGACAAGGGATTTGAGAGTAGAGGTTCACACCAAGTTGAGTTGATTCTCAAGGGGTTGAACTAGGGAAGGAAGGAGGGTATAGCCAGTGCAGGGGTGATGGCCTGGGAAAGAAGGGATTAAGGGAGTGAATTGAAGTCACATAGAATGCTAGGGGTTATTAGGCAGTGAGAAAGGATCAAGATTATATGAAAGAATTACAGTTTATGAGCATGGAAATGGAACCCTTATGGGTGATGGTAAGGTCAATGGTGTGACCATCTCTGTGTGTAGCTAAGGTAGAACAGAGCAGCAGATCATAGGAATAGTCTGGAGTAGATTGAGGAACTCAGATGTCGGGCCATTTCAGCAAGTATCTATATCTCTATATATCTATCAGTTCCCTAGTGAGAAGACAGGAGATGGGTAGGAGAGAAAGACCATGAGCCAGGCATTGAACTTATTGAGGAAAGAAGGAGACTTTCCCAGTAGTCAATAAATAATAGCCACCAAGATCTGGATTGGGCAATACATTTGGATAGCATGAACCTCAAAGGAAGAAAGGCTACTTAGTGAAGGTGATCAAGGAAGAGTCTGGAAGTAGCAATGAAGAGAGAGTATCATTTCAGCTCCACCGCCAGGACCAATAAATCAGGGGATATGAGAGAAAATTTAGGCAGTGCTTGAAAAGGAAGGGAAGTGGTGTCATTAAGAGGGTGCCATGTCTCAGTGAGGCCCAGAACATGGAACGAATGAGAAAGGAAGTTTGTTAATTATGGAGCAGGCATTTCAGAAGGCATAGGGGAAGGGGTGGGTAGACCTGAAAGGGACATTGTGGGGGTTGGGTTGAAATGGATGAGCAAAGGGGATTGGTGAGTTGAGGATGGGGAAAAGAGGTTTGTATATTGGCACCCAGGGGCTTACAGTTACTGGGATCGAGTGTGTATAAGGGGATGAAAGTATGAGGAGGGAGTCCAGGAAGAGTATCAGTGATTGGAGAGATGACCAATGTAAGATGCACAAGATTAGACTGAAGTCCTTCCTTGATGTTCAGCCTCTTGGCAGGGGGTAACATTATATCTTGTACATCACTACAGGCAAAAGCAGGGGGTGTCATGCTTATCTTGGAGAAGATCTTGGATGAAGGGGGAGAGCACAAGATGCACTACCAAACAGATGATTTGGTAACTGATTTGAGAGGTGATAAGGAGACACTGGAATTTAGTGTATAGGGGAACGACATGGTCAGAACTGGGCTTAATGAAAATCACTTTGGCTTCTGTGTGGGGGGTGGACTGGAGTTGGGAGAAACTTTAGGAAAGGAGACCAATTAGAAGGCAGTTACAAGTTGCAATTAGGAGCCTGGACAAGAGGTGAGGAAGGCCTAAACTAAGATGGTGGTCATGTGAGGGGAAAGAAGTGGAAAGATTTGCAAGACATTGTCCAGTGAGAGATAACAATACTTGGCAATTGATTGCATAGAGGTATTAATTGAGAATGGGTAGGTATTTGGCTGTTATAAGGTACTTTGAGGAGATGTCAATAAAGAGGGTTTTTTGTTTTTTGGTTTTTTTAAAGGATGGGTAGTACTCAGTGGTGTTTTTATGCAGCAGGGATAGGGAGAGACAGAAAACTAAAGATAGGGCATAATTGTGGAGGTTAGCTGCTGGAGGCGACAGGAGAGGATGAGGTCCAGGGCTGTAGCAGAGGACTTGTCCTCAGGGAAGGGAATGACAGCCCCTACATCTGAGATTAAAGGCAGGACAGAAAGGAACAGGGACCTTGTCAGTGGTTTTAAGATGTTGATGGATGTCCTCTATTTTCTCAATAAAGTAGGAGGCTAGGTCTTCTGCTGAGAGGGATGGGGGAGGTGTTCCACGAGTGCTCTGCGTCCATTATGTCCTTTTATTGATTCTTCCAGCTTCAAACCATTGTACCAGTGCCTTGGCAAATGGAGTGGAGCTGGTTCTAGAGGATAAAGAAGGCAGAAAACACTTCAATTACCTTGGCACTTAGTGCTTACAAGGGAGGACAACGCTTCACCAACTCCCCTGACGGTATTTAACCTTTAATCACTTTGGTTCATTGGCAAGTTCTAATTTAAAAGGACTTCCACCCTGCCTTCCACAGGACAGAGTTTGTCCCCTTGGCTGTTTTTAGGAAGTAGTTTTTGCTGGACACAGGACCTCAAATAAGGGTAAGTTTTGCCCATACCTGTGTGATGTAATTTCCCTGAACTGTAAAGAAAAGAAACAAATTTGCTATTAAAGACTTGCTTTTCAGAACCAGGAGAATATTGTACACAGTAACAGCAACATTGTACAGTGATCAACTAGGATAGACTTAGCTCTTCTCAAAAATACAATAATCCCAAAGACTCATTATGGAAAATGCTACCCACTTCCAGAGAAAGAACTGTGGAGTCTCAATGCAAATTGAAGTATACTATTTTCATTTTTTTTCCCCCATGGTTTTCCCCTGGTTCTCTTTCTTCTTTTACAACATGACTAATGTGAAAATATGTTTACATGATTGCACATGTATAACCTATATTAGATTGCTTGCTGTCTTGGGGAGGAGGAGGAAGGGAGATAGGGAGAAAAATTAGGAAATCAAAATTTTATAAAAAAAAGAATGATGGAAACTATCTTTACATATAATTGGAAAAAATTTAAAAAAAACTTGCTTTTGCACAATTTCTCTTCAATTCAGCACACATTTGACTGACTCCTCCTTACTATGTAGAAAGCATGGAGTTTTCTGTGACATTATCTCCAACTATGTCTCACTCTGTTCCAGTCTCTGATGAAAAAGATGGCCATTCTTGTCAAGGCTGACTTATCTTATTTTTTTTATGTTATGTTATATTATGATTTTTTCTTTTTAGTGAGGCAATTGGGGTTAAGTGACTTGCCCAGGATCACACAGCTAGTGTCACGTGTCTGAGGCTAGATTTGAACTCAAGTCCTCCTGACTCCAAGACTGGAGATCTATCCATTGTACCACCTAACTGGCCCTGCCTTATCTTCTTGAATGGCCAAGCTCTTGGTCCTACAATCAACCCCTACGATCTTTCTTTTTCAGCATCTATTTACTGGTTTCTCAATTAAGTACAAATTTGCCTGTGTCCTTATATAGATGCCAGTTTCAGAAGTCTAGTTAACCCATGAATAGACAAAATGGCCCCCTCTTGCCACTTCCTTCAGCTTCTAGTCACCTTTGTGGAACAAGGCAAAGGGATGGTTTGAATCTAAGTTCTCAGACTGTCTACAAGCACCACTGAACTGTTGCTTCTCAATGAAGGATCTCTGTCCAAGCCCCCAATATGGTAATGGGATGGGGAAGAACCATATATGACAGAAACATGAAATCCTAGGGCTACAAGGAACATTAGACACCATTTGGCTGGTATGCCCAACCCATATCTGAACCAGAATCCCCTCTACATCCCAGATAAGTGGACATCCAACTGCTGCTTGAAAACTTTCAGGGAGGGGGAGTTCACTCCCTCCCAGGGCAGTCCATTCCATGCTGATACAGCTCTACTAGTGAGGAAGCTTTTCCTGACACGCCAAAACCCATCTCTCTGAAACTTTGCTTCTAGTTCTGTCCTCTAGGAACAGGCAGAACAAGTTGGACCCCTCTTTGCCATGATGGCCCTTCCAATACTTGTAGACAAATAATTTGTTCTCCTCCTCTGTTCTCTCCCCACCTCTCTCCAACAAGGCTTCTATTCTCCAAGTTTCTTCAACTATTTCTCATACAGCTTGACCTTGAGCCCATTCATCAAAGCAGTCCAAGTGGCCTGGACGCTCTCCAGCTTATGGACATCTTTCCTAAAACCGAGCAGCCTACTGTAAGAAGAACTAGAAGGCCTCTGCTGTTCCAAGTGGACCCTCTGTGGGGGACTTATTCGCGTCACAGACTAATGTCAAACATGCACACTCAATTGAAAGGCCTTCTGATGTGCTCCTGTGGAAGGAGTGCCCATCCCCATGAGATCCCAGCTCCATCTAAAGAAGGATAAAATGGGTGGATCAGTGGAATAGGTTAAGTATGCAAGGCAGTAGTCAATGACTATAGTAATCTATTATTTGATAAACCCAAAGACCCCTGCTTCTGGGATAAGAACCCACTCTTTGACAAAAACTGCTGGGAAAACTGGAAAAGAGTATGGCAGAAACTAGGCATTGATCAAAATCTCACAACATATACCAAAATAAAATCAAAATGGGTTCATGATTTAGATATAAAGGCTGATAGTGTAAGCAAACTGGGAGAGCAAGGAATAGTTTACCTATCAGATCTATGGAGAACAGAAGAATTCATGACCAAACAGGAGATAGAGAACATTAGGAAAAGCAAAATGGATAATTTTGATTACATTAAATTGAAAAGTTTTTGCACAAACAAAGACAATGCAACTAAGATAGAAGGAAGGTAGAAAATTGGGAAAGAATTTTTACAACCAGTGTCTCTGATAAGGGCCTCATTTCTAAAATATATAGAGAATTAAGTCAAATTTATAAGAATACAAGTCATTCCCCAATTGAGAAATGGTCAAAGGATATGAACAGGTAGTTCTCAGATGAAGAAATTAAAGCCATCTATATTCATATGAAAAAAATGCTCTAAATCACTATTGATTAGAGAAATGCAAATCAAAACAACTCTGAGGTATCACATCACATCTATCAGATTAGCCAAGATGACAAAACAAGAAAATGATAAATGTTGGAGAAGATGTGGGAAAATTGGAACACTAATGCATTGTTGATGGAGTTGTGAAATGATCCAACCATTTTGGAGAGCAATTTGGAACTATACCCAAAGGGCTATAAAAATGTGCATACCCTTTGACCCAGCAATAGAACTTCTAGGGCTATATCCCAAAGAGATCATACAAATGGGAAAATGGCCCACATGTACAAAAATATTCACAGCAGCTCTTTTTGTGGTAGCAAAGAACTGGAAATTGAGAGGATGCCCACACATTTGGGAATGGCTGAGCAAGTTGTAGTATATAAGTATAACGGAATACTACTGTGCTATAAGAAATGAAGAACAGGCTGACTTCAGAAAAACCTGGAAAGACTTACATGATCTGATGCTGAGTGAAGTGAGCAGAACCAAGAGAATGTTGTACACAATAACAGCCACACTGTGAAATGACTAATATTGATAAACTTAACCTTTCCCAGCAATACAAGGTCTCCAAAGGCCTCGAAGCAGAAAATGCTATCCATATCTAAAGAAAGAACTATGAAATTTGAATGCAGATCGAAGCATACTATTTGCTATTTTTTTTTCTCTTCTGTTGAGTTTTGTTTCCTCTTTCTGGTGGTTTCTCCTATTGGTTCTAATTCTTCCTTACAACATCACTAATGTGAAAATATGTTTAATAGGAATGTAAATGTATAGCCTATATCAGATTGTGCACCATCTTGGGGAGGGTGGTGGGGAGGAATGGGGAGAAAAATTTTAAACTCAAAAGCATCTGGAAGTGATTGTTGATAAATCAAAACAAATTAATTTAAAAAAAGGATAAAATGACAACTGTTAAAAAACTGTCTTGGATTCAAGATTAAAAAAATGTACATCAGTGTAAAAGTCTCTCAACCCTAGAAATAAGTCCAATTACATATAAACAATATGCTATGAAATTAAATAATGGGCAAATGAAATCATCATCTAGCATATGCTATTTGGAAAACTGGGAAAAATACATTTTGATCTATACTTTATATCACACAACACAATCAATTCTATTTTTGTTGGTGTTGTTCAGTTGGTTCAGTCTGACTCTCTGTGACCTCATTTGGGGTTTTCTTGGCAAAGATACTGGAGGGGTTTGCCATTTCCTTCTCCAGCTCATTTTATAGATGAGGAAACTGAGGCAAACAAGGTTAAGTGACTTGCCCAGGGTCACATAGCTAGTAAGTATCAATTCTATATGGAATCTTAAACATAAAAGCCATGAACAAATAAAAACCAGAAGTACATGGCATAGTATTCTCACTCTCAATGTAGAGAGGAGATAAATTCTTGACTAGCAAAACAAGAAAATTAATCAAGGATGAAATTGCTGGATTCTACAATAAAAATTATAAAATAGCAGCAGCAGCAACTTTTGCCAGTCAGAAGAACAATGAGACTGAAATAAAAGAATAGCAGCATACAGGAAAGAAAACTCTCAGTGCCCCAAAAGGTCATGATTTCATCTGTGTTCATATTCTCTTCACCCCCACAGATTACAATTAAATTCAGTTTAACAAACATTTATTAAGACTCTACTGTGTGCTCCAAAAGACTCATGATGGAAAATGCTATCCACATGCAGAGAAAGAACTTAGGAGCCTGAATGCAGATGGAAGCAGACTATCTGCTCTCCTTTTCTTTTGTTGCTTCTTTCTTGTGCTTCCTCCCATTAGTTCTAATTCTTCTTTACATCATGACTAATGTGAAAATATGTGTAATATGAATGTATAAGTAGAGCCTATATAAGATTGCATGCTGTCTTGGAGAGGGAGGGGGAGAATATTTAAAACTCAAAATCTTATGGAAATGAATGTTGAAAACTAAAAATAAATTATTTTAAAAAAAAGACTCTACTGTGTGCAAGGTACTTTGCAAGGTCCTGAAGATTCAAAGATAAAAAAAAACAGATGATTCCTGCCCTCAAAGAGCTTATATTCTATTGGGGAAATAACAGTATGTATGATCATAAGTAAATACAAATGTGCATGTGTAAATAACACACATACATGTACATCTATACCCACACATACATATTTATACAATTTATATACAATTATCCCTTCCATGTCACCGGGGTTAGGGGCACAAGAGTCCCCTCTCCCCCAATCAGGAAAATCTGGGTAGAATTTCTCAGCCCTGCCTTGGTACCAGAGAAGAAGTCTCCTGGCTTCACAGATTTCCTTCTCTTTTTTCTTGATATTATACAATATTATACATATATTTTATGCGTTTCTGATTTTCTAAACTTTTTCTGTGTTGTTTGCTGGCCTTCTTGTGCTGTTTGTGGTTTCTGCAAAACTCCCCAAAAATTCTGATTTAATTTCTTATGCAGACCTGTAAGATACTGAAACCAAGATGGGGAAAGTTGTGTTGTAGAAGGGCTCACTGTATATGTTTATATATATAGATGACTAGAGATAGATAGATAGCATTTATATAGTGCTTACTATGTGCCAGGCATTGTGCTAAATGCTATACAAATATTATCTCATTTGAGCCTTACAACCACCTTGGGAGGTAGGTGCTATTATAATTCCCATTTTACAGTTGAATTAACTGAGGCAGAGGTTATGTGACTTGCCCAGGGTCACATAGCTAGTGAGTTCCTGAGTCCAGATTTGAGTCAGGTGTTCCTGACTCCAGGCCTAGCCATTTATCTACTGTACCACCTGGCTACCTCACTATACACACACACACACACACACACACACACACACACACACACACACTCTCTCTCTCTCTCTCTCTCTCTCTCTCTCTCTGTGGATCTGTAATTTTATTGATGTAGAGAACTTTCAATGAGGAAATTCTATCTACCAATGCAGATGAGTAACTTCTAGTCTTAGAGAGTTGCCTGGGGCACCAGCAGTGAAGTGACTTGCTCAAGGTCTCACAGTCAGAAAGTATTAGAGGCAGGACTTGAACCTAACCCTTCCTTATTCTGAGTCTGGCTATCTATACAGTGTTGCCTCTCATACAAAATATAGATATGGCAAATACAAAGTAATGTCAGTGGAGGGACCATACTAACAACTAGGGGGAGGGGGTTGGGGAGAAAAGGGGGTCAAAAAAAGGCCTCTTAAAGGAGTTCACTTGAATTGAGCCATGAAAGGCACTAGGGATTTCAAGAGGTGGAAGTGATAAGTGAGTGCCATCCAGGCATGGAGGCTAGCTTATGCAAATGCATGGAGGCAAGAGATAGAATGTCACATATAAGGAACAACAGAGAGGCCAGTGTGGCTGAATGGGGAATGAGTGAGAGGAAGTAATATGAAATCCCTCTGGAAAGATAGGTTAGAGTCATAGTATACAGGGCTTTAAATGACACGAAGATGAATATGTATTTTATTCTAGGTGCAACTAGATGACCCTGAAGCGTCCTGAACAGAGCAACGAAATGGTCAGACTTGCTTTAGGAATATAGTTTTGCAGCTACATAGAGGATGGATTGGATTAGGGAGAGCCTGGCAGCTGAGCACCCAATCAGCAGACTACTACAGCAGTCAGGTAAAAGGCAAAGAGGCCTGAATGAAGGTAGTGGCCATGTGAGTGGAGAAAAAGGGATAGATACACGAGAAGTTATGGAAAGAAACTTGACAATTCTTGTTAGAGGATGGAGATGGAGAGTGATGAGGAGGCTGTGTGACCCTGGACAAGTCACTTAACCCCAATTGCCTAAAAAAAAAAAGAGAGAGAGAGAGAGTGATGAGGCAAGAATTGGGTCAACCTAAGGATAGCAATGTCCTAAAAAGGCCAAGGGAAGTTAAGAAGATGGTTGGAAAGATGTGGCCATGTTGAATGAAAACCCAGGGAGGAAAAAGTGTCCAGGAACAGAGGGTAGGCAGCAAGATCAAATGTTTCAGAGATTCAAGAATGATGGGGTTGGATTAGAAAGCTTCTAAGGTGCTTTTGAATTGGAAATTTAAGATCCTACGTATTGTATACTAGGGTACTGAGAGAACCAGTGGATATGATTGTTGAGACTGTCAATGAAGTTTGAAATGTCACGAGGAATACCTTCTGTCTCCTTTCCTCAGTAGTGCTCATGGAAGAGGCTGCCATCTTTGTCCTCACAGCAATATGGCTGTCCTCAGAGCCCTCAAAAAACCTAAAATTGTCAAAAAGAGAACCCTAAAGTCCACCAGATTGGACACATGCCTCTATCCTCAGCTCACCCCTCCCTCACACCTTTCTAGCTCAACCTCACCCCCACCCTGCAATTGACCTCTTCCAGATATGCCTGCCCTTTCCACTGTGTCCACTGGAATGCCTGCTTCAAAATGAATGAACTTCCTTTCATCTAAAACCTATTCCTTCTTCACTCCTTCCATCTTCTTTTTTCCCCCACTCCTTCCATCTTCTAATCTTCACTGAGACATAACTCCCTTCTGATGAAATCACTTCACTTGCCATTTTTTCCAGCTCTGGTAAAACTTTTGCTAACACCCAAGACTCACTGGTCATGGTGGAGGATTTGGAATATTCTTTGTTTCTCCTTGCCATTTCCAGATTTTCTTCATAGCACTTTGACTAAGTAACTTCTCATCCTTTGGAGTTTGTATTTCTAAATCTAAAATCTGAATTTTATCACCCAGTATAGGTCCTGGAGGCTGTTATCTATTAAACTCATCTGATTTCCCTGCCTCAAGTCTCCCCTCATTTCAATCCATCCTTCGTTCAGCTGCCAACGTGATTTTTCTAAAGTGTGGGTCTGACCATGTCAGCTGAACAGTCAATGAACTCAAGTGGTGCCTTATTTTTGTTGTTCAGTTGTTTCAGTCTTGTCCAACTCTTTGAGACCCCAGTTGGAGTTTTCTTGGCAAACATACTGGTTTGCCATTTTCTTCTCCAACTCATTTTACAGAAGAGGAAATTGAGGCAGACAGATGTTAAGCTAGTAAATGTCTGAGGTCGGATTTGAACTCAGGTCTTCCTGACTCCAGGCCCAACACTCTATCCACTGTAGCACCACTTAGCTGCTCCTAGTGGTGCCTTATCACCTTGAGGATTAAACAGAAAGTCTTGTGTTTGACATTCCAAACTCTTTATAACATGACCCCTTCAAATTTTTCCAGTCTTCTTACATGTTGTTCCCTTTCATGTGTTTGGCAATTCAGTCCCTCTGGTTTCCTTATAGCTCCTCAAGCATGTGACTTCATCTCCTGTCTCTGTGCTTTTGCACTGAGTGTCCCCTATGCCTGGAAATCCTTGATCATTCATCTCCATCTTAGTTTCTTTGACTTCCTTTAAGATGCAGCTTCCTTTAAGATGAAGCTCAACTATTACCTTCTGTGAGAAGACATTTTTAAAAGCATATATACAGTATTTTAAGGCTGGAAAAGGTTGGCTTTAGACACATAACTCCTTTTCTCCTCACAAGAACCCCGGGAGTTGGGTGCTAGCAGTAACCTCAATTTATAGATGAGGAAACTGAAACAGAGACAGATTAAATTACTTGCCTATGATCAATCAACAGGGTTAGTGTCTGAGGTCAGATTTGAAATCTAGTTTTCCTGACTCCAGCTCCAACATTCTATATGTACTGCGCCACCTAGCTGTATTCCCAGAATCCCCCATCTGCTAGTGCCCTCTCTTTCCATCACTACTTTGTAGATCTCATGTCTTGATTTATTTACATGTTTTCTTACCTGTTAGAATGAGAGCTCCATGAAGGTAGGAACTGTTTTCTGCCTTTTTTTTTTTAAATCTCTAGTGCTTAGCCCAGTGCCTGGCATGTACTTGGTACTTGACAAATGCTTTTTGACTGACTGTGTGTGATCCAGGGCAAGTCATAAGCTCTGTGGGTCCCAAAAGACTCTCTAAGTCTAGAACTTTTAGACAAGGGGATGATCTGCTTTGGGAGAAGGCCTTTACAAGACATTTCTTACAGAGATGTTTCTTTGCATCCCCAGCACTTAGTGCAGTGCCTGGCAGAGTAAGCCCTTAGGAAATATTTGGTGACTAAAATGTTAAGATCAAGCAAAAGTGGCATAAACCCAAGAGGCACTGACAGCTAGATGCAAAGATGGTCTGAGGGTCAAATTTGGATCCCCACTATTAGTTATGGGCAGCTAGCTTGCAGCCAGGACATCCTGGGTTCAAATCCGACCTCAGATACTTACTAGCTGTGCAACCCTGGCCAAGTCACTTAACCTCTGTTTGCCTCAGTTTCCTCATCTATAAAATGAGCTGGAGAAGGAAGTGGCGAATTACTCCAGTATCTTTGCCAAGAAAATCCCAAATGGGGTCACAAAGAGTCAAACACTACTGAAATGAATCAACAATAATATTAGTTATGGAAGTAAAGAGAAGACAAAACCTATGCCACACTGTGGATTGATGACCTTGTTGATGCCCAACATCAAAGTGATGGGTCCTTACCATGTAGATATCATTCACCGTGTTTCCTCAACTGTAAAGCCATCTAGATCATCCATTGGAGGAATGCTTACCTGAGGAGTGAAGAACATTCGTAAACTGCTTTGTACATTTGTATTTGTGTTAAGTAAAACATCCAATGACAAAAAGAAAGAAAGAAAGAAACTTCTATTTGGCATTCTAAGCGCTTCACAATTTGGCTCCCACTTACCTTTTCCACCTTATTATGCATTATTCCCTTTTGAAGTTTCTACAGGCCAAATGGGTCTCTTCTCTTCCTTAATTGGGGCCTTCCATCTCTCACCTCTGAACCTTCGCACTGGTGGGCTCATATACCTGGAATGTACTCTGTCCTCACTTCTGCCCCAGGATCCCTGGTTTTCTTCTAGTTTCAGCTCAAATGCCATCTTTTACATGAAGGCTTTCTTTCTCTATTTCCATTGAGGGCACAACCAACCTTCTCATCACCTGGGTTCACAACCTGGAAGTTGTTCTTGACTTTGTCCCTATGCTTCACGCTTCCCAATAGCCAATCAGTTACTATCATCCATTCTACCTCCACAGCATCTATCCACATCTTTTGTGTGTATCCCTTTCCCCAAGCTGCCATGACCTTGTATCTATTTTGTCTACAATTATATGTTATACTTTGTCGCCCATGATAGAATGTAACCCTTTGGGGACCTAGAATATTTTCACTTTTGCTTTGTATTCTCAGTGCTTAGCACAAAGGGTTGTGCATAATAGGCCCTTATTAAACGCTTGGTAATTGGCTGGTATATATAGGCAGCAAGGGAAGGAGACTGTGGATGAGGAGAGGCTGTCAATTAAGAGTGGGGAGTGATTGAAGGACTATGCTCTTAAAGGAGACAGTAGGGGATGGTATGAGATGGAGAAGTAGAGGGGTTGATCTGTTGATTTTGGTGAGAAGGGTCACCATTTCCTCAGAAACTGTAGCAAAGGGGGATGAGATCAAGGGAATCTGAGATTTAGAACTGAGGAAAAGAGGAAGCTCATGATAACCCTCCAATGCCTTACTAGTTTCTCAAATTGTGGTGGCCCAACCCCTACTACCTCTTGGTCTTCATTTTGGTGATGGGACTTTCTGAAGTGACCTTAGATAGTTTCTAATAGTACCTATAATGCTTCAGCCTGGTAGGACCTGCCAGAGCTTGGGCTTTCCTGACATGGCTAGCAGGGCCCAGGGTGATCTCTATGTACCCAGCGAAGCATCACAGGAAGAAAGAAGTAGACAGGTTATGATGGTTTGTGAGCAAAAAGACTGAGAATTAACAGAATTGTCAAAAGCTCGATTTCCAAAATTACCCCTTCCAAGATGGAGGCCAAGGCAGGATTAGCCCTGCCCCTCTGACTTCTATCACAATACTGTCATCAGACTGTTTCTTAAACTACAAACTAATACAAGTTTGCTAATTTCAATATCTAAGAATGGACAAACCTTTCAAAGGCTATAAAATAGGAAATTATCAAAAGAGAAAAGGCAAAGATCTGGAAAAAAAAAAACCAAACAACTCAAACTCATTAACTTAAAACACAACAATTGTAAAGTGCTGCCTCATCTGTATAAACCTACTTGATGCTTTGATGGATCTGTGATTTTATCCAGGGATGTCTTGCTATCTCTGTGTGATTCTTAGCTGTGTTTTTCCATAAATCTTCTATAGAAGGTTTGTCCATGTCACTCCCATACTCAAAAATCTTTAATAGTGCCTGACTGCCAGGATGATAAGATAAGAACTCCTCAGTGTGGTATTTAAATCCCTCCACAACCTAGTTCGCATCTACCTTTCCAGGATGATTTCATGTTCCTGCCTTTCATGTATACCAAGTTCCTGTGGACAGGCCTATTTGCTGTTCCCTTGAATCAGTACTCTACTTCCTACTTTCCATGCTTTCACAGAAGCTATTCTAACACCCTCCCCCCCATATCCTACCTCCTGCCCTTTGCCACTGAGATCCCTAGGCTCCTTCAAAGCTCAGATCAGGTGCCCTCTCCCTCCATCTCCCTGAAGTCTTTCCTAATCACCTTAGTTGTCAGTGCTTCTTTTCTCCTACCTGATACTATCACTCTGTGTCTATTTAGCTATGTGTATATGTTATGTTTCCCCTGCTGGAAGGTAACTTCCCTGAAGACAGGGACTGTTCCTTTTTTTTTTTCCTGCTTTTTGGTTAGGCCACCAGGGTTAAGTGACTTGTCCAGGGTCACACAGCTAGTAAGTGTTAAGTGTCTGAGGCTGGATTTGAACGCTGGTCCTCCTGAGTTCAAGGCCAGAGCTCTATTCATTGTGCCATGTAGCTGCCCCTAAAAAGCATTTCACATACATATAACTGAGGAAAGAGCACCTTGTAATCAGAATCTGAACATGCCGATTTGATTCTAATGCTTCCAAGTCTGGGAACTCAGGTCCCTTCCAGCTCTGTCAGCCTGTGATTACTAGAAGGCCCCTGATGTTGACAAGCTGAGACTCTTAGGTACTTAATGAAGTACCTTCTAGCTCTGGTTAGCCTGTGACTGTTAAGATAGTTCCTGATACTGACAAACTGAGACACCAAGTCCCTTCCAGGTCTGCAGTCTGTGGCTACTGGACGTGCTTTTCCTTAGTTACCAAGGGATGGGGAGGGGGAGGAATTAAGCCCCTGGCTAGGTGGTGAGCTGGTTTGAGCCGCTTTGGACTGCCTCAGATAGTTAATAAAGGGAGGGGGTGCCAAGGAACATTCTAGCAAGGCTGGTCAGGGATGGGGGGGAGGAGTGGCAGTTGGAAGCAGGTGATGGAGGAAGGAGGAGTTGGGGGAAGGAATAAGATAAAGAGGTAGTGGGGGGGGCACAGCTTTGCCATTAATGGACAGCTGAGTGGGCATTGGGTGGAAAGCAGTGGTGGGGAGGGCGGAGCCCCCAGCCCCCTTACTAAGGAGGCCCAAGGGCACCTTGGTGGCCATTTTCAAAGCCGTCCACGGAGAGACTTCAGAGAGAAAAGGACTATAAAATAGGAGAGGTGGGGGGAGCGGCTGATCTACAAAGATTTGGTGGGATAATTGGGGAGAGAAGGAAACTCAAAGATGTTTGATAAATGGGAGAATCAATTTCACTAAATGGAAAGAAACGAATTCCAAACCTCCCTGGTTCTTGGACGGTCCGCTGGCTCCACGGGTCCGCCGCAGCTACCACCGCTGCCTCGGAGGACCTATAAGAGGTGAACTGGGGATATGGACCTTTAGAAGCAAGATCGTCAAAGGGGTAAGATCAGTTAACCTGGAGAGCTGGAGGGGGAAGAGAAAGGGAGAGAAAGGGGCTCATTTTACTACCATTACCTACTCAAAGCCATTTTCAGTAACCATGCATATCAAACAATGTAACTATTACTTTTTAGAAAGGAAAAGAGAAAAAGAAAGTTACTAATCTAAATCAGAGATACATAACAAATAATGTGGCGTTTTCGAATACAATGTAAACTTAGTCAGACTTGAGGGTGGTTTTTGCCAAAGCCATTCGATGGGAGGGGGACTTTTCAGAGGCAGGAGGGGGGGATGGGCTGCAGCGGCAATTCGATGGGAGGGGGACATTGCAGAGGCGGGAACTGAGGGAACAGAGGTAGGCAAGCTCCGCCCAAATGCGACAAAGTGGGTGGGGTTTTGTGTCTTTACTAGGGGAAAGGATGGCCCTGCGCATGCCCACTCAGAATCCTAGACCTAGCCACGTCAGTTTGGTCTGGTCCGCAGTGCGGTGTTGGAGCGCGACTGGACAAGACGCTTGTAGCAGTTGCTCCGTGAGTGGCGCCATTTCTGGGCCTTCAGGCCTCAGACCTCTGAAGAAAATCCACAGGTAAGATGCCCTCAAGATGCTACCTGCCGATGCCGGGCAGAGGCCGAGAAGATCCCTAGATGATCCCAAAGGCGATGCTCTGTAGATGGCGGGCCGATGGCGACGGATGGTGCTCGGATGGCCCTACGGGCCTGCAGAAGTGGCACGAGCCTGTGGAGGCTGCAGAAACCCAGGCTGTGGATACAGAGGTGGCGAATCCTCCGATGCTGCGGTGGAGGCTTGACGATACCTCAGCGGTGAACCAGCCAGCGGCAGCGGTGAACCGTAGTGAGGAAGAAGCCGTGAATGCCCCGCTGCAGCGGTGGCTGCCCGGCTCTCCCACTCCTGCCACCTGTAGATGCCATTTCATCTGCTAAAGGTGCCCGCAGGAACTGCTGTGTATCGGAGAAGGACCACAACCATCTTAGAGGCACCTGGAGACAGAGAGGTTAGTGAAGGGGAAGCCGTAGTCTCAGTAGGAAAGGCAGGAAGGACCAGGGCTATCGCCAACGAAGCAAGAAGGGGGGAGGGCAGGAGAGAATAGACAGGAAATTTTAAAATTGTTCCAAAAGGCAATTGTTGGGGGGGGGAGATGGGGAGAGCTAGGCAGCTAAAATTGCCACCCCCTACCCCATGGGATTACCTCTTGGTCCTCGGAGATTGTGCTCATGCTGGAGATGCAAAACTGAGGTGGGGAAAATTGCATGTGAGGGCTGGAAAAACTTTCCCCTTTGGATTGCTGGAGGGAAGTGGTTTTGAGGGGAGAATTGCTGGAGCTTGGGAAGGATTAAATATTGTGGATTGCCACAAGCAGACAGTGGAAGATTGTGGGGCTCATGGAGTGCAGGGAGGGGGGGAGGTGTTGGTGGATTGTGAGGAGGGGCGCTAAGGGAAGGGAGCCGAGGAAGATTACAGGGAGGAGGGTAGAAGATTGGAGGAAGGGGGAAGGAGGCGACCTTGGCACTGAGGTATGGGGGGAGGGCATACGGCAGCGGCAGTGGCGGTGCTGGCGGTGGCAGCGATGGCGGCTGCAGCCCAGCAGAATTGTGAGGACAACCCGAGGAGGATTGCGGGGTGGGGGGAGGGAGGCCACCGAGGCTGTGGCAGCAGCAGTGGGGGGGGGCAGCGGCTGCCACAGGATTGGAGGAGGGGCAAGGAGGCCATGGTGGCGTCAGTGGCTTTGGGGGGGCGGCGCAGTGGTAGCCGCTGCAGAGGCGGTGGAGGTGGCCGCGGCAATGGCGGTGGCAACAGCGGCGGCAGCGGAGCGGTGGCAGAAGTGGCTGG